TTTACTTTTCGCACAAGATTGTTTTCCTCTCCTTTAAAAATGTTTTTCTAAAAATAAAACTCAACATAAATGTTTTAAGATTAGATTTGCCGGGCAAGCAGTTTAATTTTCACCATATGTTGCCACAGCAGTTTGTAAATTAAAAAAAAAAAAATCTTTCCACTAAAACCACCAAAAAAAAAAAATCTAATATAAAAATGTATTCTTCCCCAAGCGTCTCCCTCCTGTGGGCTATTTTACAGCTCCCAAATAAATCTTTAAGGTTGCAAGGAAAGGGAAAAAACAAAAGTACTCTGATGACGGAAAAGCAAATCCTGCCATGATAATGTCCTTTATTAATATTATAGATGTGTAGTGTGCTGGATGGATCAATCATATCCATTCACAATCAGGATTAAGAGAGCCTATTTTAATGAAAATCTATTAGTCTCTCGCTTGAGACACGGATGCTGCTTAAATCAATAAACAGCATAAAAGAGAATACGACGCAGGTTTCTAAATTAAAAAAAAAAATCCCATCTATGAAATGTGTTAAGACGTCTGTAAAATCCTGAAACCCTCGATCGATACTTATAAATATTTAATTTTTTTTAACACAAATTGAAAACCATTAACACTGCATCCATTCTTATTATTAAAACAAATTGTCCTTGGAATTATGTGCTGTGGAAATGGAGCCAGATTGAAAGGGCATCCTCTGAAATATGTTTACTCGCTTTCATGTAAACCAATAAAGATCTGCAGGAGTCTGTAGCGTGAGCAGGAAGGTTTGATGTACAATGTCCATGATTACAGTCCCTGAATTAATCACGAGAGAGAGAGGGAAGGAGGGAGTGAGATGGAGAGAGAGAGAGAACTCAGTTATCTACTCAACAAAATCATGCTCTTCGGGTCAGCGCTTATTAAAACGTGAATTAAACCAATGATTTTTCTGTTTGCTTATTTACCCCATTTCGACCAAAATAAGCTGAAGGAGGAAGGGTGGGAGGAAATCAGTTTCGCCCTACGTCATACCTTGAGTAAATGTACAAACGTAAATTCCTCCTATAAATATGAAATTCAATACTTTGCCTCGGATATGTTTAAAGCTAATGCAACGTTTAAACTCATTCATTATTGTTCCTCTCGTCGAACTCGAAGAAAAACCACAGTGGTCGAGAGCTTCCTTTGAAAGAGGAATTAAAAAATCACACATGGATAGATACCTCGCTAAATAAACGCTCCTCTGCAGCCAGGGTCCGCGCTATGCGCTGCCCTGCTCGCAGATGCCCCCTCTCGCTTTAGGGAGGGGGCAACCAGGGGGCGGGCTCGGCTCTGTGGGGAGCAATCAGCCCCGATGGGGAGGCGGTGGGGAAAGGAAGAGGGGTAGAATAAACGGGCCACCTCTTTTGTCCACTTAGGACCCCCAGACAGGCAGAGGGCTCCTGTCCGTTCCCCAGGGCAGTAGGGAGGGAAGAGGAGGAAGATTTGGGGGCATGGTGCCCTCAGGTGAGCCGGCAAGCCGGGCAGTCGGGACAGCCCTCACTGCTCCGCTGATGGCCGGTCCTGCACGGGGGGATCGGGGAGAGCGGGGTGGTTTGTGGCACCGCAAAGAGGTACCCAGGGTACCGCGGTGAGCCGGGGGCAGAGGGAAGTTCCGAGGAGCGCTGGTGACTTTTTAGGTTTGCGACAGGGTCCCAGGAGTTCCGTTCCTGAAAAGGAATGGTATTTAGGCGCACTTCACCCCCCCCCCCCCCCCCCCCCCCCCCCCCCCCCCCCCCCCCCCCCCCCCCCCCCCCCCTCCCCCCCCCCCCCCCCCCCCCCCCCCCCCTCTCTCTCTCTCTCTCTCAAATTCCCTTTATCCTTCCTTGCATCCCTCCTCCCCAGCCCATTTATCAGGAGCAGCAATAAAGGTGATTTCTCTCTGAACCCGCCGTCAAAGTTTTTAGTGGGGTCAAAATTGCCCCCCAGTTTTGTTCCCACCTGCACCACCTTGCCCTAGGCCCCCGCAAAGCCGCGGGCTCCGCAAAGTGGGGGGGCCCGGGGGCGCTCGCCGCCTCCCGCCGCTCCCTGCCGCGCCTCCGGGACAGGACGGGACGGGCCGGGCCGGGCCGGGCATCCCTCGCTGAGCTCCCGGCATTGCTCAGTGGGGCCGTGCGTGCCCTCGGGGATGCCCGCGATTCTGCGCCCTCCGCCGCCTGCCCCGGAAGGGTCTGCGGCGTGGCGTGGAGGTCGGATCCCCGGAAGAGTTGAGCTTTGTACTGGTCCTTTTTTGTTTGTTTGTTTGGGTTTTTTATTATTATTATTTTCCCGGTTTTCTCCCTTTCCCTTTCCGGTGCTTTGTTTCTCTTTTCTCTTTCGGAGCGAGTCTGAGGCAAGTTCCCCGAGGCTGGAAGGCTCTCCCCCGGCCGCCTCCCTGCTGCCATCGAGGACGCCCGGTGGCGGTGGCCCGCGGGCTGCCGCGCCACTGGAGCGCCGGTGGCTGCCCCGCGCCGAGCTGCGCCCCGCGCGTTGCGGGAAGAAACCAACCTTCCCACCGGGCGCTGCTGGGAAGCAGGGAGGGAGTGATGCGGAACAGGCAGGAGAGCTTTTCTCCCCCCTCTATCTGAGGACGCTTGGATTTGCCCCTGTCCTCGGGGGCAGGAGCCCCGGCAGTGGCAGGAGGCGCCGGGGGGCTCCGGGAGGAGCGTGGCCCCGCGCTGGCGGGGCTGCAGGCGTGGGGCTGGGCGCGGGGGGGAGCTGCGGGGAGGAGAGCGGGACGGGGGCGAGCGGGAGGAAAGAGGGGATCCCGCGGACTTGATGCAGGCTCCAGGAGCTCGGGGAAGCCGACGCGCACCGTGCCTCTCCAGCGCTGGGGACGCGGAGTCAGTAAATATCCTTGATTGCTACTTGCTGCGAGGGAGGCAGGGGGAGACTGGGCACGGTGGGGATCGGTGCCGTTCGAGCCGAGGGATGGGGAAAGTTTCCGCGGAGGGGTGCCAGCCCCGGTACGGAGCCTCTCCCACGGGGGAGTGAGTGCCGGTGGCCCCGCTTGTCCGTGACACCCTCGCACCACGCACCAGCCCGCACAACAATCCTCTACGAGCCCTTGCACGCACAGACTGCATGAGAGAGGCACAAGCGGCGTGTCGTGCCAGGATCTTTCCTCAGCCGTACATTACTTCCCCGTATATCGTTTGCCTTTATTATTTATGTGGTGCCGTGTGATATACATTAGAGCCTCAGATTTGATTGGCGTTTGCGATGACAAGACCTGTTTGTTAAGTTGTAAGGCTTCCCCCACTCCCTCACTTGTTAAACGAACTCTAGAGGAAGGATGCCACCGAGACACGACAATATAATAAATGTCAGGGATATCCGCAGTGCCGAGATCAAATGATCAATCCTTGTCCGCTAGATAATCATTTTAAATTCGCACAGGGGGAGATTGATTTTTTTTAAAGCCCTTTATTAATTGCTTCCTCGATTATTATTTTTCCCCTCCTCCTGTGGAAGTGTTAACTCTGGTGCTGGGAGCACCTTTGGATTAATTAAACGTATTTTTAGTGTTTTAATGTTCTGCTAATTTTCAGAATAGTCTCACACACCCCCGGAAAAGAAACAATGGCCCCTTGCTCCAACAAGGAGCCTGCTTTGGTTGCGATTCAGAGCAGAGGGTGGCGTGATGATGAGCTCTGATTATCTCAAACTCGAGGCGGGGGAACTAGAAGGACGTAAAAAGCCAAACGACCAGAAGACAAAATTCCTCCAAATACCGAATAACCATTCGCGTTAAAGCCCGAAGAGAAGAGAGAAATAAATAGCTGGGAAGTCGGCCCCGCATGGGGATCAAACAGTGCGAAGAGGCGCTGGAAATGCCGGCGCTGTTATCTGGAGACGAATTTCAGGCAGCTCTATTCAAGTGCACAGAATAATAATTATTCCAGGAGTACAGCAAAAATAACTGCAGCCTACCAAGAACAAGGTGGGGAAATTATTTCGAGTTCTATGTTAAATCCAGCAGGATATGTTTCGTTGGGACGAAAAAAAATTATAAAGGTTTAATTCTCTATTTGTCGTGTACACACTCCCGTGTTAACAAATTATTCCTCTGCTCCATGCAGCAGGATAGCTCGATATCCAGAGAAACATTTTAGATAATAATTTCCCCCTACAGTACCTTCAGACAACATAATAACAATAAACAAGGAGACAGATCCTGCAGTGTTCGCATACATCTGGAGAAACTCCCTACCTATGGATACCCCACAGACAAACAGCCCACTCCAAATCCTCCGAACACACCGACACGGATCTCCGAGGCACCTCGCAACTTGTTTGGCTGCAGCACACGTCCCCCTCCGTGCACCCACCCACCCACCGCCAGCCAGAGCAGGCAACACTTCTAAGCATCGTTTTTGTTTCGCCGGTTATTTTGACCGTTTAATTAAGAGAAATTAGCTAAATAGCAAATCAGGTAGAATTTCCAATGATTACAAAAAATGCACTTCTCCGGCTTTTTATTCATTACCTTTTTTATTGAACACTCATTTTCCTTTCCTCTTGACAGCGATACATTAAATTGCAGGAGCCCAGTTATTTGGTTAGCTGTGGGTCCGTTTTTACTCACAGTGTTGCCACGCACAGGATATCCTTAAAATCAATTAAGTCTTCTTCGACTCTCATTTCTGCAACCCATTTACAGAATGTAGATACCTATTTTCATGTTTTCCTCTTCCCCCCTCCCTCCTTTTTATTCCTCTCTCTCTCTCTCTCTCTCTCTCTCTCTCTCCCTCTCTCTCTCCTTCTCCCTCTCCCCCCCTCCTTTTCGCTGTTGCCTCTTTGCCTCCCTAAATCAAGGTGCAAAGATGCCAAAGAGTGATGAAATGAAAAGAAAGCCAATTGCTGGACTGAGGTGGGGGAGATAGCTGCTTGGAGTCCGCCTGCGACTATGGAGCAGTCAGTAATTGCTGGAGACAGGGAGAGCTGGGGGTTGGGCTGAGGTAGCCATGTATAAATAGTGTGATCTCAAATTGAAAGGCATAAATAACAGCAGGAGTGATCTAACCCTATACAGCCCATCTTCTACGTGCAAAAACAGCGTGCGGAGGACTGCCACATCTCCGATTGAAAACAAGTGGATCTCTGTGGATAAGATCACCGGGCAGCCATGGAAGAACTTACGGCTTTTGTATCCAAATCTTTTGACCAGAAAAGCAAAGAGAGCAGCAGCGGCAGTGGCAGCGGCAACAAGAAGGAGACGATCACGTACAGGGAAGTTTTGGAGAGTGGGTTGGCTCGCTCTAGGGAGCTTGGAAACTCTGATTCTAACCTGCAGGACATGACCGAGAGCAGCAACCATTGCCCGGTGCATCTTTTCAAAGACCACGTAGAGAGTGACAAGGACAAACTGAAGGAGTTCAACACGGGCAGGACGGCGGAAGGTAAGAGCAGGGCTGGAAGCCCTCCGCCCCGCGCTTCTCGCCGGCAGCCCCGGTCCCCCCGTCAGCCGCCCCCGGCTCTCCGCAGCGGGGGCGACGTGGTCAGCGCGGCCCCGGTTCCGGCCCCGGCCGGGGGAGCGGGATCGCCTCCCGCATCCTGCTTCCCTCCTGCGGCCACCTCCCTCCCGCGGCGGCGGGAACATGGGCTTAGGAACACGTACTCCTGCATGCATAACGTGAGCGTAGCCGTGAAAAACAAGTCACAACTTCGGTCCTGCCCCCCCGCCAGCCCCCGTTCGCATCCGAAATCGATCCGGTGCGTTAGGCGTTCTCTCGCCTGGGGGAAGGGGGCAGCGCAGCACGTCAGACGTTTTTGTCTATCTGTGTATTTTTGTACGAGGAAACCTTGTCCGGGGAGTTTAATGCCTTAGGAGACCTGTTCTTCCTGCTTCCGGGCAGTCAGGATGCTGCTGCTTGTCCCGGGAGAAAGCGGGGGGCGGAGAGGGCTCTCTCTGGACATTTTGCCTTGGGTCGGTCAGCCTGTCCTACTCAGAGGCTCCGACCGGCGGGGACGAGAAGCAGGAGAGGAGCCCGGCCGTGGGGCAGCTGCCCGGACCCGGTGAGACAGAACCTCGCTGCGGCGAGAGGCACCGGCCTACTGGTCCCTCGGTCCCCTGCCAGTCCTCTCACCTGGGCCAGGGCAGCTCAGCACCCCGCCGGCCGAAGGGCAAAACGCCATCCCTTCTCTAAGCAAACAACGATAATTTAAAAAAAAAAAAAAAAAAAAAAAAAAAAACCAAAAAATAAAAAAAAAAAAAAAAAAAAAAAAAAACCCAACATATTTTTAAAAGCAAGACAACTAAAAATCCCGCACAGGCTCACAGGGGAAGGAGAGAATGAAAAGGACGGGGGGATTAGAAAGTTGAGAAAGTGTCTCTAGGCAAGTTAGACAGGTGGACCTGCCTGGGGAGCTACTGGCTAGCTTGGGGTAATAAAAACCGGTTAATAGGTTGGGGAACAACAACCAGCCTTTCAGCTGTTTCCTACTATTTGATCTTGTTTAATATAACACTGGGAGATTTAATTTACAGCCCAAACTTTTATTTAATCCTTCTCTTTTGTACCTGCTCCCCAAACAGAAGAACGGGGTATAATCCCATATTCGAGTACCCATATTTCTGCACATGCCAATACCACTCCGCTCTGCTTATTTTCCTTTTCTTGACGAGAGATTGAAAATCGACGAGATTCAGTTTAAGGGAATCATTCGATGCAGGTGATGATTAAAAAAAAAAAAAAAAAAAAAAAAAAGAAAGCAGGGCAAGCTTCAGGAATTAAAAATAGAATGAGAAGGAACGAAAAAAAAACCCCTCTACTACTCTTCCTTTTTCCCCGTCAATCGAAATTCTGGTTTGTATGTTTAGCTAATCTAATCTACGGAGAGGGGCTGGGGGTGGGGATGGAAGGGAGGAGTTGGAAAGAGCTGAGATGCTTGTGACAGTTTAAATTCATGCCAGGTTTCAGTCTAATTTCAACTGATTCCGGCGTGTGATTTCAGTCCCACCGATATGCTAGTTAATATTTTATACCTATCACGGACATGCTGTAGCCTCGGAAAAGAGACAGCTTTTGAACGCCTCTGATTTTCCCATGGCATTTGCTGGGTTAGCACCCTCGTCTTTTCATAGGGATTCCCTTTACAGGAGAAATGAGAACAAAACGCCATTAAAACCAACGAGCGAATATCCCCATCCGGAGGCTAGACCCTTCCCAAAGTTTCATGCAGCCAGTATCAGCCCAGAGCCCGGGGAAACGATCACAACCAGGGACAGTTTTCATTTTGGAAGTGAAAACGAATGCTTCGGCTTGGGTCCGGCCTGACTTAAGCCCAGATGCAGTCCAGGACGCTTTATTGCGTTTAATTAATTTACGATTTGCAGTTTATAATTTGCATTTTGGGATGCTCCGAAGTATATAGGTTAATATATGTTCATGAGCGCATTTCTCTATGTGTATACATGCGTATATGTATATAATACCTGTGTACTTGGTGAGGAAAAAGGGAATTAATTCGGCATCATGCACAGATGCAACTCGCCCCAAATCCACACCACCCAGAAAGTGAGGCATGACGAAGGACAGGCTCGTCCCGGGACTCCGCTGGATGCGCACCCGGCCGGGCGCCCCAGGCAGGCAGGGGATCCCGGGGAACCGGTTCAGCCTAAAGTGGTGTCCCTAGCTCCAGCATCTCTTCCTCTTTTCGTTAGCTGGATTTGAAAGAAGGACAGTGCCTTAGGCCTCCCGACATTAAGGAAAAGGGAGGAAAAAAATAATAATAAAAACGTATGAAATAATATGCCAAAGCAAAAGAAATCTCCCTACCCAAGGCATAAAAGGGGAACTGTTTTACCACTGCCCCACAGCCTCCCCTCTGCCCGGGACAAGCATTCTCAGCGGCTGCCTCTGGTCGCAAGCTCTCCACAAGCCCTGTTAGAGACCCTGAAGGTTGGGAGGGTTCCTGCTGTTTCGGAGGGGCTGGGAGTGACCCATGGCCCTGGAGCCCCCTGTCCCGCACAGGGCCGCTCAGGACGGCCTCCCCCGGGGTTTCGACCTGCTGGCAGGTATTTTGGGAGAAAGAGGGGTGTTAAGGAGAAGAGAGACGGGCGGTCTCTGTCTCATGCCCAGGGAAAGTTTCTTTTACGAGGCGAATACTATCATCGTGGCTTCATCATGACGGCGGTAGGGAGCTTCTTGCATAACCCTCTTTGGGAGAAAATGTCGCCGGAGAAACCCCCTTCCCCCACCTCTTCCCACTGCCTGGAGATATCGGGGGGCCGGCGATTTTCCTACCAACCCCTTCCCCGAATTTCCCGTACCAGCGGCACGGCTTCCTCCTAACCCTGGAAAGAAAATAAAATTTTATCTATCTGTATAGTTTTTCTGATGGGGCAACAGAGAGGCAGGGCAGCGCGGCTCCCTTCCTCCCTCCGGCCCTCGGGCGAGCTGCCCCCTGCCCGGCGCGGAGCCTGTAGCGGAGCTCAGCCCCTCTCGCCCCTCCGGGCCTGCCCGGGGACCTCCTGCCCCCTCCGCCAGCTGCACCCGCAAGTTATGCTGAGTTTGGGGACGAAGAGGGGAGGAGGGAGACCCCTGTGTGAGAGAATTTCGAAGAGGTGCGAGGGGAGGCTCAGCGTCGTTTTCTTCTTCCCCCTCCCGGCAGGGATCTACGAATGCAAAGAGAAGAGGGAAGATGTGAAGTCGGAAGATGAAGACGGACAGACCAAGCTTAAACAAAGGAGAAGCAGAACCAATTTCACACTAGAGCAGCTGAACGAGCTGGAAAGACTTTTTGATGAGACTCACTATCCGGATGCCTTCATGAGGGAGGAACTAAGCCAGAGGCTGGGACTATCTGAAGCTAGGGTTCAGGTAAGAGACAAGCTCTGTTCCTGGAAACGTGCTCACCTCACTTCCTAACTGCCAGCGGATCCTAGCACAGTGCCCCGCTTCATGCAGAACGGGGAGGTGAAGGCAGAGGTGACACGTGTGATGGGAAAGCTGTTTGCAAGTCTGCTGTACCTGTCCTGCCAATATATATATATATATATATAATATCTGCCTATATATATATATATATATATAGGTGGTTTAAATATATATATATATATATAT